CTGAGCTAATCACATCTGCAACAAACTTACTCCCAAATCAGATCACATTCTGAGACACTGGGGATTAGGACTTCTGCGTACCCTTTTAAGTGAACCTAATTCAGATCATAACAATGATGATGATGTATGGTGGATATTATATAGGCAAGTAAATGTTCTGGGATTCTTTCAGTAAAATGGTCTCTGTATCCTCTATTATTCCAAGTGTGCCAAGTGACAGGCTAGTAGGAAGAAAGCTTCTGGAATCAGCAACACCACTGGTTTTATCAAGAGGTGGTACGATTTCTCAAATTCTTATCCTAAAAAAAGGTAGCAGATCTCTAGTAAACAATGCCATTTCTGGAATTAAACTGATGGATAACCTTCTAAGGAAGAGCAGAAACAATTTAAAATATGGTCAACAGGCAAAACACTTTTCTTAAGAGCTTGTTTCTAATGCATGTAGCAGATCACTGAGCAGAGTTAGGAGAGGGAGGTTTGAGGCTGCTTAAGCAAATCACTTCAACCTTTGGAAACCCACCTGCCCACTTAATAATTTGTCCTAAACTTGTATAAAGTGTATATTTCAATGCCTGCCTCCTACACAAATTGGAAGAAACAGTGCCTTACAAACTGTTATTGCTGAAGAAGAAACCGTATTTATACTTTATCCAGCGCCTGAGCACAGACTGAGGTGGGCAAGTGATTCCAGGCAGCCCATCCATAGATTTCCCTCGGTGACCCCATTGTCTCCGAAAGATGAACAGGCCATGTCATATTTCTATCAGGAACTGGAAACTGGGACAAGAGAAACTATGACATCTTAAAGTGGGAACTAGAGCTGTAAAATAATGAGACACTGTTTCTTCCAAATTGTGGCTAGGAAGGCCCTTTATGACTATATAAACGTGTGTTTTGGTGGTATATTATCAATAATTAGGTTAATAATTAATATTTTTCATGAAGTTCACATCTTCTAATACAGCATATCAGTAACACTTATTTATATCTCACCTTAGTCCGAAACAGACTAAAGCATCTGCAGTAGACATTTGTTTATTCTGTCTGGCACCCTACTTTATTCTGTGACTAACGACCCACTTATTTTAGATAACTGGTCTTCCCTCAACTTCAAGTGTTTCCAGTCAATCGTATTACTCCACACCACTGGCCGTGGAGAGACCTTTGACCTTTCAGGCAGGCCAATCTGAGTGCTTCCCCGAGATTTTGGGAATTAGATCTGTGGAGGCAGGGGAAGTCCCACGCCTGGACCTAAGGGCTGCTGGCTGCCACGTCTCCAGCTATGTGGAGGAAGCTGGGAGAATGAAGCCAATACACAGGAAGAGATGAGACACAATGAATCCCAGCATCATTTGTGTTCCCAAATCTTCCTGCACCCCTTTCTCCCTGAACGATTAAGGTAAACCAATAAATTTCTCTTTTTGCCCAGGCTGGAGAATGTCTATTATTTCTAGACAACAGTCCTGGCTAATATACAAGCTGATATTAAGTTTTGTTTTGGTTTCTAATGTCTAAAATATTATCTTCAAATATTTCAAATATAAGCAGAAAAGTCTACTGGAAAAAAAATACCTGGAGGCACCATTCTCCAAAAGAGCAAAATCTAAGATAGCAGGTTCCAGAAGAAAGGCCCTAAAGATAAAACACTGAGTACCTTACCATCTGGATCATGTACAAATCCCTTATCCATTCAATACCACAGGTATCTATAAATGAAGACAATATCTATCACTGAACTATCTTATAGAAAGTATGAAATGAAGGTCATAAAGTGCTTTGAGCGACTTGGAAAATAGTATTTTTAACATCCAATGTATAAATGTATTACATTTAGGAATTTAAATTTCTTAATATTTCTGTTGCTCAATTTCTCTTTCTGTAAAACGGGCATTAATATTTTTCTCGAGTGGCTGTTGAAAGAATTAGCAATCATATGTACGTGAAGCTGAGAGATCATGACTCAACCTACGGCTGATCTGCCAGAAAAGGAGGGAATGCCAACTACCCAGGCATCTTTTGCAGAAATCGGTAGACACTGTGCAAAGCGGGTGTGGGGGGTGGTCAGCAGAGATTCTATGCTTAGGGGGAAGAAACGGGAGAGCTAATAAGCATGAGAGATGGTATGGTGTTTGGTTCTACCCCAACCCAATGGACTAGCCCCTACAAGGAGAGAGAGAAGGATCCTGTGCTCTGGGGAACACTATTTTGCAATTTCAAAGAGTTTCACAGTTTGGGGGCCATATAAGCAGTGTAGCATTCTCCTGCAGGAACAGCAGCGGCTAAAACAGTGAATGCCCCAGAGAAGCCTGGCAGGAGCAAGCTGCGCCCAGGATTGTGAGCTCGCTTGTGAATCAGTCAGGAACTCCTGTGACTTCCAAAAATACTTGGGGAGAGGCCTTTTAGGGGACTAGGATCCTGTATGATGTGATGGAATTTCAAGTCAGCAAATTTTGGGTGTAACTGCACTCATGAGAAGAGAGTTGATCCTAAATGTGATACATTTAGCAGCACATAGTATTAGTCTGCTAAATGGCTTTATTGTCATCCTAAGATCTCTCTCTACAGAATTCTAACCTCAAGACTGGCCAGGTGGATATTACAGAGCTTTGAGGATGAAGTCACATGATGTCCTGTGTTAGTTAAAAGCAACACTGAGATTAAGCATTTAGAGTCGCTGGGTGTAGAATAGTTTCCTGACTTATATGTGCCCTCACCACTTTCCATCAAGCTGAGGTCTCTGAGCAAAATAAATCACCCCAAGATTACGTACATGCATTAAATTTTCAGGTAAATATTAATATACTTTAACTGTCGTTAGCATCATCTGCATTTTACGTAGCACAGAGTTAATTTTTTCCTGAAAAAAAAAAATTCAATATTTTATAACGGCCTCTGTGCCACTCTGTTTATTATCAAACGTATCATTAAGGACCCAAAAAAGTGAACTTATAGAAACCTCATAGGGCAGGAATGATCACCAAGATTTATGTCAGGTGGGTTAAAAAAAGTTCATAAATTTAGTAACCAACTAACCAGAATACTATAGTGGAAGCAAAGAAAAACAAATAGGGTAAAATCTCTAATTGTTCTTTTTTTATGAAAAATTTCTACTTGTCATTTTCTTAGTCTTACCTGAATAACAGTGCTAACATTTAGAGAGTAGGGTACCAGCCACCATTATAATATTCCGCAAGAGTTACAGTGGTGTCTCCAGATATGCCCCCTTAGATGATGAGAATTCAACTTAATGAGGCATTTATAAAACTTGACTTAGGAAGCATTTGTGTATATGAAGCCCCATGTGGATTCCTCCACCATCTGCACAAATCCACAGATACAGGAGCTGCCTTTCTTCTCGAAGTCCTTGTAGTTGCTAGTTTTTAGCAGCAGCGTCATTACATCTACATTGGCAATCTACTGAGTGAGTGCAATATTAGAATTGTTTCCATTGATTCCTCCTGTTTTTCTGCATTAAAGGTTGAATTACATAAAGGTTGGGTATATATGTATCTTGCCCATTACCTTTTGTTTTCAGTGTATTGCTGGGTAATCTCTACAAGAGCTTAG